TCAGGCTGGAAAGGCCCAAAAAAGGTGACTTTTTGTGCCGGGCTCTTGCGGGGAAGAGGCCCGGCACAAAAAGTCACCCTTTTTGAGGTGTTTCAGGCCGGAAAGGCCCAAAAAAGGTGACTTTTTTTGTGCCGGGGAAGAGGCCCGGCACAAAAAGTCACCTTTTTGAGGTGTTTCAGGCCGGAAAGGCCCAAAAAAGGTGACTTTTTGTGCCGGGCTCTTGCGGGGAAGAGGCCCGGCACAAAAAGTCACCTTTTTTGAGGGCCCAAAAAAGGTGACTTTTTGTGCCGGGCTCTGGCGGGGAAGAGGCCCGGCACAAAAAGTCACCTTTTTTGAGGTGTTTCAGGCCGGCAAGGCCCAAAAAAGGTGACTTTTTGTGCCGGGCTCTTGCGGGGAAGAGGCCCGGCACAAAAAGTCGCCTTTTTTGAGGTGTTTCAGGCCGGAAAGGCCCAAAAAAGGTGACTTTTTGTGCCGGGCTCATGCGGGGAAGAGGCCATATTACACCCTTCAAACCTACTTATGTTCCCCAACTCTGTCCCTATACTCACCTCTAATCAACCCTCGAATAAGAAATATATTGCAGGGTCTGGTCCAAACCTAACTTTCTTATTTCCATTTGGGGTTTTAAGAAATTTCGAAACCCTGGCTGAAAAAGGCAGATTTCTTATTAGAAGCCTCAGCCGTACTACTACTACTAGTAACGGGCTCATGTGAGACATGACTCGAACTAAATGCTTAAGTACTTGGTGACCCAGGAACCCTCTTATAAGAAGGGCACCCTTTCTTGGGTTGGTTATTCTATAAGGGAAACCAGAACCCCCCAAAAAAAAATGCAGTAAAGGGTACCACTGGGCTACCAAGAGTATGTTTATGACATGATCATGACATATTTGAGCAGCTGCGGGGCTAAGTCCAAGGCCCGGTTGTGGCTTTCTCGCATTGTCTTCCGGGCTTGCCCTAAACCCTAAACCCTAAACTCGCGTCCTCGGAGGTCTCGAAGACCAGACCTTCGTCGCTGACTCCCTGGCGGAAGACTTCTTCGTTAAGCTGAAGATTATTTCGGCGCCCAGAGACTCTGCGCTAAGAAGGTGCCGATCCTCAAAGTTTGAGAGTTGTGGGTTCATCTGTCTATTTCTCTTGTGTTTACTAAGGGGGGGATTAAGGCTCAGGGATTAAATTGGTGATTTAGAGTGTAGGGTTTAGGGGTTCAGCCTGGGAGGCTGTGTTCGTCGAAAGGTTGAGCGTTCCCGTCAGCCAGAGGCCCGCAAGTCTTTGGCCAGTCCTATGAATTCCCAAACCCCATAAATCCTGTTCCAGAGGCCTCAAACCACCCAAAGTCAAAGATTTTCGAAGAATTGCATGGGTGGTTGGAGCTCCATCTTGTTTTTCCTTTCTGTTTGGGCCCCTTTTCCTTCATACACCACTTAGCCCTAAACCCTAAACCCCAAACCCTAAACCCTAACCCTGCAGCAACTTCACAACTAACAAGCAGGGGCAACCTTGGACATGGCGAACACACAAGCTGCGTGGGACACCACCGCGGGGTATTAGTATACAAAGCGAGCCTTGAGCCAAAGCGCAACAGAGTTTAGGGTTTCGGGTGTGGGGTTGTTGAGTTTCAGGGTTCATGCAGGGACTCGGGTTTAGGGTAAACCCTGAACCCTACACACCCTAGTCTCTATCGGGTTAGGGGGGGTTCAGCGTTTCGTTTCGGAGAAAGACGAGGGCTTTCGCAACTGTGCAGCTTAGGGTTCTCCGCGATGAGGGCTTCTAGGGGTTCAGGTCTGTTAGGGTTTGTTTACAGTAAACCCTCCAAGGCCCTGAACCTCAAACCCAAACCCTGAAACCCCGAACTAATTTGGGGCCCAGATTGGGGCTTCAAGTGCTTGTGGTTGGGCTTGTCGCCTTGTCCTGCAACTCTATTTTTACCTACATCTTGGAACTAGTGACTCCAGACATTCAAACCCAGAACTGGACACCCGTCCCCGAAAGAAGCTTAAAACGAAACACTAGCAGATTCCCTCCGCCCCCCCCCCCCCCCCCCCCCCCCCCCCCCCCCTCCGAAAAAAAAAACAAAAACAAACTACCAGGGGCTTGTTTATATAGGCTTTTAGGCTTCGTCAAGATCGAAGGAGGTCTTGAGAGTGGGAGCTTCCAGTCAGAACTTCACGTTGAGAGAGGCCTTTTAATGAGGCATCCCATAAATAACAACAAATCTGTGAGGGACGAATCTATGACAACCTGCCCTTTCGGCCGCCTGGTAGGAGTACAGTTCCTTATGCCCCCAACAAGGGGCTGCCAGCACGGCCCATAAGCTTAAAACCCTTTAGAGTCCTCTACAACCTAAATCCTCAACCCATAACTAAAACCCCAAAACCCTTTAAGGCCCTTACAGCCCTATACAACCTAAACCCTAAACCCATAAACCCCGATCATAAACCCTTTAAGACCCTCGAAGCCCCTAAGCCCTAAACCCTAAGCCCTAAACCCTGAATCCTAAACCCGAAACCCTAAACCCCGCCCCAAGGCCCAGCGCACGAGGGGTTCTGGGCCAAGGAGGCTCGTGGCTCGTCCACGCGAGGGACCTTCCAGCTTGCTAACCTCTAAGGGTTTGAGGGTGTTAGGGTTTTAGGGTTTAGGGTTTTGGGTTTTAGGGTTTTAGGGTTTAGGGGTTTAGGGGTTGAGGGGTTGAGGGGTTTGGGGTTTGGTGTTGGGGCTGCCATGAGGGGTTTCTGGGGAGGCACTAGCAATCAAGCTCTGTGCGATGAGAGCACTGCCTCCACCGCTCCTGCCTGTGAGGGCTTGAGGTTTGGTCTTGGGGTTGAGGGTTCAAGGATCAGGGCAAGAGGGCTGGGGTTGGCCTGGGGCGTGCTTGGGTTGAAAAAAAGTTGAGGGTTTAGGGTTTATAGGGTTTATAGGGTTTATAGGGTTTCTAGGGTTTATAGGGTTTATAGGGTTTATAGGGTTTATGGGGTTTATAGGGTTTAGGGTTTTGGGGTTCAAGGCAAACCTGACACTGGCCTGTGCATTCCCCATATGTTCACGGCATCAGGCTGGAAAGGAGCGAGAGCGATGCCGTTTGATGCTCTGTTCGTAGGGATACAATCACTGAAACAGATACCTATGCAGGTATATCTATATATATATATATATATACATATATATATATATATACATATATATATATATGTTGAATGATAGAATGACATATGTACATATGTGTGTGTATAGGTCTATACACAGAGTAAAGAAGCTGCTTTTAAATTTGTAGTGCGATCGTGCTGTGTCCTGTGTTGCATGGTGTGGGGTGCATCTGTTGAGGTCAGGCCGGCTTCTTGACAGTTGGACGGTGACGTGCTATGTCCCCAAAGCTAAACCCTGCCACCTTCCTGGATAGAAGCAGCCACGGCGCGCAATGGGATTTACCGTTCCGGATTTTTGGGTGCCCCTCGGCACCTTCAGGCTGGGCCACTCCTTCGTGTTCGGCTAAAGTCAGCTTGGGTTTAGTTAGGGTTTCCATAAGCTTCACAGGCTAAATCAACTAGGAGGAGAACTCCAACTCCGCTGGTGCTAGTTTTGCCTGGGCTTCCTGGATTCCTGCGAGCCCTCACATCTGGCAAGCACGCCCTAAGGGTCCATGTACCCATTTAGTATATACTGGGGGCCCTAAAGCTACTTTATGGGAACCCCTTTAAGGCTCAAGTATATACTATGGGTACATGGACCTTTGGGACGGCAGCATCGATTTTGTGGTGCCAGCACCGTGCCTCCTCCCCTTTGCTGACGCGCACGCGCGCGCCAGGGCGCAGCTGTACCATACATGTTGCGTGAAACAATGGGCATGAGAATGCCTGCCCCGAGGCCAAAAGGACACAACTATTGAGGGCATGCCATTGATTTCAAACCCTGGGGAAGGCATCCCCGCATGTTGGGTTGCGGGGATGGGGGCACTGGGCTTGCTGTGGCGCCCCCCAAAAAAATTGGTTCAGAGGTTTAGGGTTCCGGTTTCTTTAAGGGGGTTTGGGTTTTTCTTTAAGGGGGTTTGGGTTTTAGAGGAGGGTAGGGCTTATAGAATTGGGGTCTTAATCAGGGGGTTTCTGGCTTTGGAGTTACAGGGGTGGATCTCACCCTATGTGTGCTGCCGCTGCGCCGGCTCTCTTGTCACAGTGGCCGACGCTCCCCCGACTAGATGTTTGCTCCTCGCCGCAAGGGTCAAAAGGCAAGCAGAGGTTCCGGATGTATTCGAGGATAGAGGGCTATAATCTACTACTTGTAGGGCTTTTGGAGTCGCAGGGTTGATTCGTCGGGTTTGGGGTTGGTCGGGTGTAGGGTCGCTTAGGGTTTGGGGTTTATTGCGGCAAGCCCGGGCATCTGCGTTTCGGAGATTCTGGGATTCAGGGTTTTCTGGGGATTTAGGGTTCAGGGTTTACCAGGCCTAAGTAGGGGCAAGCCGTCAAACCCTTCTATACCCCAAATCCGATATCCCGAAACCCTGCAAAACCCCAAAGGCTGAAGGCTGCCACTCCGAAACCCGAAAGCCAGGTTGTGCCCTCAAGGCCTCTGTTAGGAACTCTACGGGAACGTGAGCCAGGGCGGTCGCCAGTCCTTAACCCTAACCCGCCAACCCCCCCAAAATCCTCAACCCTAAAACCCCCCCACGCGCTGAATCAGGCTCAAAGCTGCGAGGAGGTGGCCCAGGTGGCCCCCCACTGAGCAGCACGAAGATCAGAATCTTGGGCATGCGGAACCTGACAAGCTGATGTGGGGGGGGGGGGGGGGGGAGTGTTGGCAGAGCTTCCTAAAATCCTAGAACCCATTTAAGGTTTAAGGCTTAAGGCTTAAGGTTTAAGGTTTAAGGTTTAGGGTTTAGGGTTTAAGGTTTAGGGTTTTTATAAGATCCTAGAACCTACACTCTGGCGAAAGTCGAACGTCCAATGTTGTGCCGTGCCTGGAATCGGTGCAGCAGAAGGGGGTTCGGGCTGAGAGGGCTGAGAGGCCTTCATGAAGATGGAAGATGAACGCACAACTACCAAGTTGCGCTTGCTTCAGTGGGGGGCCCCTGACTACCCGGCAACTCCCGAAATCTACGTTCATTTTCAGAGCAACTTGGGGCCATTTTGACGCCAGCTTTGTACCGATTCCCGGCCTCTCGGCTTAAAGGCCGGGCCCCCGAAAACCCGAAATCCCCACTGACTCGAAATCAAAACTTCTCTTTAGAAAGCAATGTAAAAATGGTCTCCATTAATCCGGGCAAAGGGGTGGTCCAGGAGCCAGCCTAACCTCGCATAATGGGCAGTGTTCCCTGGGTCCGGGGCTCCGGATTTCGATGCCCTGGCCTCTTGGCTTAGACCTTTACGAAAACCCGGAGTCCCAATTGACACGAAATCAAGAATTCCCTTTAAAGAACTATATAAGACTTGTCTTGATCAATCTGGCAAAAGCCACTTTGATGTCTTGGCCCCGGGGCCCGGGGCTGTGGATGTGTAAGCCCGGTTTAAGGTTTAAGGTTTAGGGTTTAGGGTTTAGGGTTTAAAGGCCAAGCGCGGCCAAGCTTTTGAAATCTTAAGAGAGGGCCTTTGGATTTCTAAGCCCTGGCTTCTGGGCTTACAGGGCGGAGAGACCCGTACTCCCTAGGTGAGGGGGGCTCTTATACTAGGTTGCCCAGTAACCTAGGATTAAAAATGGTGCCCTTTCTTGCTTAAAGGGGTTTATAGGGGAACCTAGAGCCCCCAAAAAGGGAATGAGGGCACTACTGGGCATCCTAGTATAACTCCTCCTTAAGTGGACCGTTCAGGGATCAAGACTGGCTTCGGCTGTTCCTGTGCGGGGGGGGGGGACACGAAAGCAGGGACAACATTACTCAGCTTATAACTCTTACATAAACACAAGATAAATGACCCAAAGTGCCAATTTTGAACTAAAAATAGGCCCCGACATCATCCGCGGGTTGGGGCTTACGCATTGTTAGGTCGAGCAGCCCCGCAGCAACGAGGAAATGGAGGAAGTTCACGCGGAAGGAGCCAGCCTTAGCTGATCCTACTCCAAAGTATCCTGACATGCATCGTGTCGAAGGGCTTCTGACCCAAGTGTATCTCCTAAACTTGTCCTAAACCCTAAGACCCGAATTGAACCCCAAACCCTACTGGGAACCGGGAGCAACGCTTTTGGGTTTAGGCTAGAGGGCTCTGGGTTCAGGGCCTTGGGAAGGAGTTGGTCTCCGCCTTAATTGGAATGGCAAGCGCGGGTAGCTTCTGTTGTAGTGATATAGAAGGGCGTTCCAGGGGAGTGCTGGAAAGTAAGCACGAGACCCTGACCTCTGAACCCACTAGAAGCCCTCTAAACCATCAACCCAAAACCCTCTTCAGCCCTAAGCCCGGCTAATCCCACAACACTTAAAGCCCTTTTGAAGCCTTTTCAGGCCCTGCTTAAGCCCCTTTTACAAGCCCTGCTGCACCTTGTCAAGCCCCTATTCAGCCCTTTCAAACCCATTCGAAGCCCTCTTTAAAACCCTTTTTGCAGCCTTTGTAAGCCCTTTTGAACTCTACGCCCTTTCTAAAGCCTTGCAAAGCCTTTTGAAGCCCTTTTGTACCCCTGAGTTGAGGTAAGCAGCTGTCCAAGTAGCTATGGCCAGCGGGATAGGCATCAGGGCCTGAGACTGCTGTAGTGGTGTCGGTCTTTAGGGTTTGGGGGGTGCTTGGGGGTGTTTGGGGGTGTTTGGGGGTGTTCAGGGTTTAGGGTTTAGGGTTTCGGGTTTAGGGTCTAGTCTGGGGGGTTCAGGGGTGTAGGTTTTGGGGTTTAGGGTTTAGGGTGTAGGGATAAGAGGCCGTAGAGCTTTCGGTTCAGAGGGCTTGGGGGCTTAATGGGGTTTAGGGTGTGTCGGGGTTTGAACGAGATCCTCCTTGGTGCTCACCCAGGCCCCAAGCCCCTAAGGCTCAGCCAAACTTGGAGGAAGGCGTCGGGGCGGTAGCTTGAATTTATGCACCTCAATTCTCTGCAACCCCTGTCGTCATATAACCCGAAACCCTAAACCCTAAGCCCCAAACCATAAACACACCCTGTAGCCCCCTAACCCTAGATCCGCTCCCGAGACTGCGAGAAAAGCGCGAGGGGACACTGGAGGTTGATGGCTGGGTCAGCTCCATGCCGTGGAGGCTTTGACACAACATCGCGATCTTTCAAGTAGGGTTGAGGGTTTGGGGGTTGAGGGTTCAACACTAAACCCTACACCCCAAACCCCAAACCTTTGGGGTTTGGGGGTTTAGAGTTTAGAGCACCGTCTCAATAAGACCTTGGAGCTAGGATGGCAGGCTTAGGGTCCTGAACCCTTAACCCTTAACCCTTAACCCTAAACCCTAAACCCTAAACCCTAAACCCTAAACCCTAAACTTTCGGGCATCAAAGAAAGAGTGCCCCAAAAGACCTCCAAAAACCCCCTGGTCTCTGGGACTTGCGGCGGCCATCGCAACGCCCACGGCGCCACGCCGCTGCATAAGGTCAGGCCTTCTGCCAGCCCCCTAAGCCCTCCAACACGTTTAGGTCTTAGGGTTTTAGGGTTTTAGGGTTTAGGGTTTAGGGTTTAGGGCTAGGGTTTAGGGTTTTGGGGCTTCGGTCTTCTAGTGTTCTAAGACCTCCGGAATATGGGGGGTTCGTCCGGGGATGGCCGTACGGCTTTCGGACCCCAGGCTGCTGGAGCCTTGAGGGTTGCACATTCGGGGCTCCTTTTAGGAGGCTTGGGGGGTTTAGGGTCGGTTTGGGGTTTGGGGTTTGGGGTTAAAGGTTTGGGGTTTGGGGTTTGGGGTTAGGGTATGGGGTTTCAGGTTTGGGGTTGAGGGTTTAGGGTTTTGGGGTTTAGGGTTCCGGGGTCTTTTGGAGTGAGCAGGTTTCGGGCCCTTTAGGGAGCAGGGGCTGAGGCTTGAAGGTCTTGAAGGCTTAGCGGTTTACGGGTCTATAGGGCCTAAACGGGTTTAGGGGTTCAGGGGCTGAACCCTAAATCTCGTGACCCCACTCAAGCCTTGAAATATATAGCTTTTTGGGGCAGCTAAGTGGGGTTTAGGGTTCAGGGTTCAGGGTTTAGGGTTTCAGGGTTTTAGGGTTTAGGCCTTAGGGCTCAGAGCCAAAAGGAAGCTAAACAATTCATCTCCGCCGGTAGTATGGGGTTTGGAGTTTCGGGGGCTTACTTGGAGGTTCTCATGGTACTTATGAACCAGTTATCACTGTACTTACAACCCGCTTATGAGCCCTTATAAGTGCACTAATGTAGGTATAAGAATTGGTTCATAAGTACCATGAACCTCCAAGTAGGGTGTAGGGGGTCCACCGTGTCTTTTCTTGCATGGGCGCGGCATCGTGCCAGTGTAACCCACACCCCCCAAAACGGGAACCCGTCTCAGGGAGCAGGGTATGCCGAAGGGGCAGTCACCGCCGAAAAGCGTAGGCTGTTCAGCTCGCGAAGCCATGCTCGGGCACCCTAAACCCTAAACCCTAAACCCTACACCCCTAAAACCCTAAACCCTAGAAACTCTTCATGAAGTCCAAGTCCACGTTCCAAGCTCGACCCGCGCAAGATCCGAGGACAGCTCCCTAAGCCCTTAACGCGCTCCCTGAACCCAGAAGCCTAAACCCTAAACCCTAAACCGTGGCCCTGAACTATATCTCAAATAATTGTTAATATAACTGAAGTATCTCTTGAAAGATATCAGACCTCATGAGAACACACTATACTTTCCTTGGAATCATAACTAAATACCACTTAAGGATATTCCCTTGCGCTTTACATAAATAACAATGCAAAAATCCTAAGGGGACTATAGTCTCCACCCTCTACCCGGACCATTGGGTTCGTTTAGGGTCTAGAGTCTAGGGGTTCCATTCCTGGGGCATCTAATTTCATGCTTAGCACAAAATCATGAAGCGTAAGAAAAAGGTACCCGGGAGAACGAACTGCACGTGATGGTCCGGGTAACAAGCATCCTCGGAATCGCAAAAGCCTCGAACGTCATATTTAAAAAAGGTCCTCTGGAACCTCAAGAAGGGGACTTCCAAATCCTAAACCCTAAATCCGCAAGTCTAATTAACCAAGAAAAGTGAGGGCATCAACTTGAAGTGTCCATTATAGGACGTTCAGGGTCCAGGGATTAGGTTTGGAGGCCTGACAAGAATTGGGACTGCTGGAGGAGGATTATGTAAACAAAACAAAGATGTATGTGTATATATACATATATATCTATTTATGTATTTTTATAAATATCTATATATATATATGCTATATATATATATATATATATATAGCATATATATATATATAATATGTGTGATAGTATACTCTCCTCATGTACGGGTCATGCTTTAGAACCCTGCAGTGCAGGGCTGATGGCTCTGAGCGCACAGACCCTGAACGAAGAGCAACCAGAAAATTAGGGTTTAGGGTTTAGGGTTTAGGGTTTGGGGTTTGGGGTTTAGGGTTTAGGGTTTAGGGTTTTGAACACTAGATCCTAAAAGCAAGTCTTTCAACTGAAGCCCGAAACCCCTGCACCTCAGGGTTGGGCGGGAGCTTGTGCTTAAACGGCTTAAACTTTGGGTGTGAAAAAACGCCCAATGTTTAAACACAGAGGCCCCCCTTCGGCTCAGAATGTTTAAACGGTTGAAACTTAGGGGATAGGATGAGGGGGACCCTTGGGGATTTAGACCCTCTGAATAGGGTCCCTGTTTAAGAGAGCCAGAACAAGGTTCAGAAGGGGTACCCTTTGAAGGGTCCCCCTTATCCTACCTAGGAAAACTGCTTAAACGTGGCTTAAACATTAATGAACTGTCAAATGTTTGAACGCACACATGTTTACACATATGTTTAAACATCAACACAGAGTGGCTGCAAAGGTACCCGTTTTGGGGACTTCCGGCTAAGAGCGGTCAGCTGAGGGCTTCACAAGGTGTAGGTTCTCGACATTTCATCTCACGGGTTTTGCAGAGCACCAATCTTGGGCCAACAACTGCCCGGAGGACTGTTTAAACACTTGGCAACAACTGCTTAAACATGTTTAAACGCGCTGGCGCCCCACCAAATGTTTAAACGTTGGGCCTTGCGAATTGTTTAAACTGTTTAAACGCTCCAAAGCCCGAACCCTGTTCAAACAGTTTAAAAGCCTATAGTGTTTAAACGTTTAAACTTCAAACGTGTTTGGCCCGTCCCTGCTGCACCTTTTAACCTCTCAACCCTAAGCCCTACACCCTAAACCCTCAAACCTGCGCCTGAAAAATCGAACCCGACCATGGTCTTCGGACCCGACATGTTGTGCCAGGGTTCCACCATGTAGTGCTAGGGGAAAAAGACATACTTCAAATTCTAACCCGGTTCCGTGCTTCAAATTCTAGCCCGGTTCCGTGTTCTGTGTTTCGCCTCTGAGATCACCCTGGTTTTGTTGCAGTCAGCTCTCAGAACTTTTTGACGCCGAACCGGGTGGGATCGCGAATTCAGCATGCTGAGCTCAGGGAAACCAAAACCTTGAAACCCTGCAACCCTAAACCCTAAACCCTAAACCCTGTAGCCCTAGACCCTGTAAACCTAAACCTTGAAACCCTCGTGCTTCAACAAAGAGCATCCCAGAAGATGTAAGGCCAGGTGTCAGAAGAGGATGCAGGGACAGACGAAGTGATGAATCTATAGATGTGGCTCTCATGTTCATGTATATACTGGTATATTCGCATATTTTACTAGCATACTGAAACGTTCGTATCTTAGTAACTTCGTACAGTGGTTTACTAGTATATAACCGATGTAATGGTATATTCCTTAAACGGAGGGAAGAGTTTGAGGCGAGTATCCCGAGTTCTCAGAGGATGAAGCAGGACCTGGTACCCTTAAGATATGCAGAAGATGACTCTCAGAATGGCTAAGGGCCCCAAGGGTGTGACGGAACCCTGTTCGACAAGTCCATGTATGAGTCAAAACAGCTTAGCTCAGATTTGGCAGTCGAAGCTCTAACGCAATGTTCTCATACTGCCTGACACCGAAACGAGCCCTGAACCCTAAACCCTCCCCATGGGGGGGGGGGGGGGGGTAGGGGGGGGTTTAGGGCGGCGTTGATTCGAGTTTGTGTGTCATTGAGTTTCTGGCGTACAACATAGATGGGGACATTCTAGGTGCAAAGGTCGGACTCTGACAACCTAAACCCCCCAAAACCGCAAGAACACCTAAACCCTAAATCCCACCCAGCCTGACACTGGAACCATACACCCTAAACCTTAAGAAATGCGTGTCTGAGTCTTCACACCAAGGTCACATTGAGCATCGAGCGTCTCAACGAGACGGCGCTAAGGGCTTCGGTTTCGGACTCCCTTTCAGCCGTGGATTGCATGAAAGGCATCGCTTTCCACTGGCTCGTTTTCTTCTGGGGCTTTGAGGGCTCGGGGTCGTTTAAGGTCGTTAGGGTACTCAGAACAAGCCCATGTGCTCTTCATGTGCGGAGGCAAGCTCGCATGCCATCAACGAGCCAGTGCCAGATCCCACGCCCACAAAGTGCCACAACCCACACAGAATGCCACTTTCATTGTGAATGGGTTTAGGAGGCTGGTCTGCACTCACATGCATAATTCTACCCGCGTTGTAGCAAACCTAAACCGTAAACAACCCTAAACCCTAAACCCTCAACCCTACCTAGCAAATGGAGAAGGAGGGCTTTAGGGTACGGCTTAGGGGTAAAGAGTTTTCGGTTCGACTGGAGAAGGAACCCGAAACTTTCGACCTCCACCCCTCAACTGGCCCAACCGGCCCAACCGGCCCAACCCTAAACCCTAAACCCTAAACCCTAAACCCTAAACCCTAAACCCTAAACCCTAAACCCTAAACCCTAACTTAATCCCTAAACCCTAAACCCGAAACCCTCAGTGGCTCCGGCTTGCGACGTGCGCACTTGTGCAGACGGGGTGTGGTATTCAGGCCCAGCAAAAGACCGGCCAACTGATGAGAATGCTGTTACCGCGGCCAGGGTTTAGGGTTTAGGGTTTAGGGTTTAGGGTTTAGGGTTTAGGGTTTAGGGTTTAGGGTTTAGGGTTTAGGGTTTAGGGTTTAGGGTTTAGGGTTTAGGGTTTAGGGTTTAGGTTCCGGTGGCTTCCGATGCTACGGAAGAAGCAGCGCGCAGGACTTCATTTGTCTTCTGTTGCAGACCTGCTGAGTTGTGTATAAGGCTTAGGCTTCTTCCGCCTGCATCTGGAATGCCAGGGGTTTAGGGTTTAGGGTCCAGCAGCACCAAAATTTCCCAAAACGTTCAACTACGCCCTCTCCACACCCACGATAACTGCTTCTCAGCATGAATGCCGCCTTCTCTACCAACAAAGACAGTCAGACAAAACGAGTTCAGGGCCCCCTCTACGTGGCCATGACATCACAACAGACTTAGCAACATCTACAATAGCGCCTGTTGAAGAGATACTCTCTTCTATTCTGACGGCGACTCTTTTGCTTGGTTCATGGTGCTACGATTTGTTGCTGTTCTGGCATCATTCAT